AGGTGTATGTGGCTGGCGCCTTAGCTGCTTGAGCCACAGGTGCCGAGCCAAAAATGAAATTGTTGACTTTTAGGATTAAGAGAATGAATTAATGGCACTTTAATGATTTTTTTTTAGACTTTTTAAAAAATCTTTTTAAAAATTGTTTAATGAAGAGAATCATCTTCGACAGAGCCTGAGATAGTGCCTGTCACTTTTTTTAAAATTTGAGACAGAGTTTCATTTTGTCACCCTGAGTAGAGTGCCATGGCGTCACAGCTCATAGCAACCTCAAACTCATGGGCTCAAGCAATTCTTTTGCCTTGGCCTCCAGAGTAGCTGGAACTACAGGTGCCCACTGCAATGCATGGCTATTTTTGTTGTTGTTGCTGTTGCAGCCGTCATTACTGTTTGGCAGGCCCGGCCTGGATTCAAACCCACCAGCTCAGGTGTATGTGTATGTGGCTAGCGCCTTAGCCACTTGAGCCACATGGCTATTTTTTAGAAACAAGGTCTAGTTCTTTTTTTTTTTTTGAGACAGAGCCTCAAGCTGTCCCCCTGGGTAGAGTGCTGTGGCATCGCAGCTCATAGCAACCTCCAACTCAAGGGCTCAAGCTAGTCTGCCCAGGCTGGATTTGAACCCGCCACCTTAGGTGTATGTGGCTGGCACCTTAGCCACTTGAGCCACAGGCACCCAGCCCAGGTCTAGCTCTTGTTCAGGCTGGTCTTGAACTCGTGAGCTCAGGCAATCTACCTATCTCAGCCTTCCAGAGTGTTGGAATTACAGTGTGAGGCAGCACACCCAGCTGGAGTGTCACTTTTGCTCAGGCTGGTCTCCAATTCCTGGCCTAAAGTGATCCTCTCACCTTGGCCTCCCAGAGTACTAAGATTACAGGTGTGAGCCACCTCCCTACCCAGCCTATTTTCATCATTTAAAAAATTATTTTAGCCTGATACCTTAAGGACAATATCTTTATTATTTTTAAAAGGGAATTGAATTTAAAAGAGAATTGACGTTGTGCTTTTCTAAAAAAGTAGATTATTGGTTTTTCTTGATTTAGAAAACAGAAGCAAAGAATTGTTGGTGTTGATACCAACATTAATCTCTAATCATTACTCAAAAATTAAGTTATTGGCTATCTGGGTTTTAAAAGATTTGAATCGTTGAGACTTAGAGATTAAAAAAAAGGGGAAATTGTTGATGAAAATGTTGGCAGTTTTAGGCAAGATTGCCTGACTCTCTGCTGCCCATGTGTGGTGAGAACAGGGTCATAGCAGCTCCCAGCCTCCTCCTGAGGCTGAGTAGAGGTCCCCTGGGGGCCTGCTGGCCGGCCACACTAGGGGATTACATCCATCTCACTGCCCTTTACCCTGAAACTATTTTGGAGGCCTTTCCCTGACTCATTGGGAGGAAGTGGACACTCAACCTTTGCAACCCTGCCGAGCCTGACAGTCCCATGTCCCCAGGCACTGTTTGGCGCAATACAAATAATGAATGTATGTGTGATTCCAGAACTTCCTTCCCTCCTCCCTGTGATGCAGAGGTCTGCTGTGCTCAATCAGCTCTGCTCCTTCCTAGCCTTCATGCTGGCCTTGCCAGACCAGTTCTTGGAATTTTGTAAGAGCTGGAGTGAGGGGAAGGACTGGGAAAGAGTTTTGTGGGGGAGAGTTGAGATGCCAGGAGTGATTTTAGGAGAAAAATGTGATGGGGTTTGTAATACACAGGGGCAGTGGATGGGAAAAGGAAAATAAAGGAATTTTTAAGGATTGTTGTACAATCACTTTGGAGAGCAATTTGGCAATTCGTAAAGTTGAAAATGAGCACACTCTCCCACGCAGCAAGTCCATTTCTTGGAATATACCCTAGAGAAACTCTCACACATGTGCACCTGGTGATATGTCCAAGGATCTCCACTGAAGCGCTGTTTATAATCACAAAAAAAATTGGCCCTGATCTAAATGTCCAGGAGCAGAGGATAAAGCATAAATAAGTAGTGTCGTTGTGCAAGAGAATCCTCTACAATGAATTACAAATGTATGAATGGACCTCAAAAATATAACATGAAAGGGAAGAGACAGGTTGCAGGATAATTCATATAGCATGAAGTTGTGCATGTATTTTAAAAAACCAAAACAAAATGAAATATATTGTTTATGGATGACAAAATTATAGCACCACAGAATAAAAGGATAAATACCAACTCAAACCTATCAGTCAGGATAGGTTAGGTCCATGCTGCCCATGTACCAAACAACACCCAAAATCTTAGTAGCTTTTGACAACAGAGTTTCTCTCTCTCTCTCTGAGACAATTCTCACTCTGTTGTTTAGGCTAGAGTGCCCCGGCGTCAACCTAGCTTACAGCAATCTTGAACTTCTGGGTTCAAGCAATCCTCCTGCTTCAGCCTCCCAAGTAGTTGTGACTACAGGTGTGCACCATGACACCCGGCTAATTTTTCTTTTTCCTTTTTGAGAGTCTCACTATGTCACCCTTGGTAGAGTGCTGTGGCATCACAGCTCACAGCAACCTTAAACTCTTGGGCTGAAGTGATTCTCTTGCCTCAGCCTCCTAAGTAGCTGGGACTATAGGTGCCCACCACAATGCCCGGCTGTTTTTGTTGTTGCTGCAGTTGTGTAGTTGGCCTGGGCTGGGTTCGAACCCGCTACCCTTGGTGTATGTGGCTGGTGCCATAACCACTGTGCTATGGGCACCAAGCCTAATTTTTCTATTTTTAGTACAGATGGAGTCTTGACTTTGCTCAAGCTAGTCTCAAACTCCTGAGTTTAAGCAGTCCTCCTCCTTCAGCCTCCTGGAGTGGTGGGATCACAAGTGTGATCTACTGCGTCCAGCCCAGAGTTTATTTCTTGGTTGTGTGGCACTTCTATCAGGGGTTGGCATAGGCCCCAGTCCACATCTGGCTAACCCACCAGATGCCATAGGAGGGAGAATGAGAGCATGGCAAATTTCTCTGTCTTTCAAAACTTCACCTTGTCCAAAACAAAACAAACTTCAAGGGGGTGGGTGAGAGCTAACCTAATATGTGCCCCAAAGAAAATGCAGCAATATTTGTTGCAAAACCCCACACCCATCATGACAATGACTTTTGGAAAGAGTACAAAGGGGCCTCCATCTTAACTGTAATTATTATTATTATTTTTTTTTTTTGAGATAAAGGCTCAAGCTGTCACCCTAGGTAGAGTGCTGTGGCGTCATAGCTTACAGCAACCTCCAACTCTTGGGCTTAAGCGATCCTCTTCCCTCAGTTTTTCTATTTTTAGTAGAGACAGGGTCTTGATTTTGCTCAGGCTAGTCTGGAATTCGTGAGCTCAAGCAATCTACCCATCTTGGCCTCCCAGAGTGCCAGGATTACAGACGTGAGCCAGTGCGTCTGGCCTGTAATTATTATTTTTTTAATGTGAAGCAAAAATATGAAATGTGTTCATTCTGAAGGGAGAATACCTACCTGGGTATTTATTGTATTATTCTTCATGTTGTTTCTTTTTCTTTTTTGAGACAGTCTCATTTTATCACTCTTGGTAGAGTGCTGTGGCGTCACAGCTCACAGCAACCTCCAATTCCTGGGCTTAGGCCATTCTCCTGCCTCAGCCTCCCAAGTAGCTGGGACTATAGGTGCCTGCCACAATGCCCGGCTATTTTCTGTTGCAGTTTGGCTGGGGCTGGGTTCAAACCTGCCACCCTTAGTATATGGGGCCAGCACCCTACCCACTGATCCACAGGCGCCATGCATGTTATTTCTTTTTCATTCATAACCGAAATACAATTTTTATTTTATTTCATTAATTAATTATTTTTGAGACAAAGTCTTACTTTGTCACCCTCAGTAGTATGCCGTGGTGTCATAAATCACAGCAAACTCAAACTCTTGGGCTCAAGTGATCCTCTTGCCTCAGCCTCCCAAGTGGCTGGGACTATAGGTGGCTGCTACAACACCCAGCTGTTTTTTAGAGATGGGGTCTTACTCTTGCTCAGGCTGGTCTCAAACTCCTGAGCTCAAACAATCCACCAGCCTGGGCTTCAGAGTGCTAGAATAACAGGCATGAGCTGCTGTGCTGGACCCAAAAGTATAATTTTTAAAGGGAGGGTACAACTGGAACATTAATATTAAAGCTCCTTCTTGGATGTCCTTGCTGGGACCTCATTTCCTTTCACAGTATGTGTGGGGCTGGCGCCCTACCCCTTTGAGCCACAGGCATAGCCCCCTAGCAGTAGTCTTTTAAACTTCAAAATCCACTTGCTGGGCTCTAGCCTTGTGTACAGCACTGTGTGTGCGCCTGTGTGCATACCTATGTGTGCTGATGCGATGTCTGCATCTTCTCCCTCCTGCAGCAAGGGCTATCCCTGAGCTTGTCTGACTCACTTCTGTACTCCCTGCCCTGCACCTGCCTTGAGGCAGGAACTAGTAAATGTTTAATGAGTCAGACTCCAATGTGCTCCTTTCTCTTTAGATAAGGAGCCACTGCAGGGCGGGAGCCATGTCTCTGAGCCCTCGTCTTGAACAAGGAATGGTTGTTTGTCGAATGAATGAATGACCACAGCCCTCCTTCTCTAGTCCATCAGTGGAGGAAGAAAACACACAGTCCTTCCCATTCTCCCATGAAACTGCTATGAGGCTGACAGGGTCAGTTTTTCTGCAGATTTTACCATGTTTTTGTGCCTGCATGACAGGCAACTGATGTATATATGACCATATACCTTGGTGACCAGTTTGTCCCAGTTTTCTGGGACTTTCTTTCTCAGTTTTACCACTGCAATTCCAGTGTCCTAGAAAGCCCTCAGTCCCAGGCAAATCAGAATGGTGGGTCACCCCACAGCACCTCCCTTCTTCTCTCTGATCCTTATTTTTCTCTTCATCTTCTCATGAGAGGGTTGGACCTGGTCTTATCTCTGCATATTGGATCTAAGATTTTAGGAACAGACCAGATGGAAAGAGGTGAGCCGATGAAGGAAGAAAGATTCAACTTGGGACTTTCCAGAAGATCTTTATTCTTTATAAAGGATATGGGATTAGCCCTGCTGGCTGGGCCTGCATTCTAGTGGTTTGCCATGGTCTGGAAAAAAAGGTTTGGGGAGGACAGAATAGTCTAGTTAGGGGCACAGTTTCTGGAGCCAGATAGAGCTGGATTTAACCCCCAGCCCTGCTGTGTGACCCTGGGTGAGTGACTTGAACTCTCTGACACTGTTTTCTCGCCTATGCAGTCGAGGAAATAATAGAACTTAGCTTATAGGTTTGTAGTTTTGGGGTTTTTTTTTCTTTGAGACAAAGCCTCAAGCCGTGGCCCTGGGTAGAGTGCCGTGGCATCACAGCTCACAGCAACCTCCAACTCCTGGGCTCAAGTGATTCTCCTGCCTCCACCTCCCACGTAGCTGGGACTACAGGCGCCTGCCACAACACCCGGCTATTTTTTGGTTGCAGCTGTCATTGTTGTTTGGCGGGCCCGGGCTGGATTCAAACCGGCCAGCTCAGGTGTATGTGGCTGGCACCTTAGCTGCTTGAGCCACAGGTGCCGAGCCTGTTTTTTTGTTTTTTTGAGACAGAGTCTCACTCTTCTGCCCAGGCTAGAGTGCCTTGGTGTTATCATCAGAGTTCACAGCAACCTCAAATTCCTGGGTTGAAGGAAACCTCCTGCCTCAGCCTCTTGAGTAGCTGGGACTATAGGTACCCACCATGACACCTGGCTAGAGATGGGGTCTCGCTCTTGCTCAGGCTGATCTTAAACTCCTGGGTTCTTGATTAAACTGCTAACTAAAGTTCTTCTCACTGTACTTGGCACAAGTATAAGTGGCTTATAAATCATAGCTCTGACTGTGATCACAAACAGTATCAGCCCCCAGATGAAATCCGATCTCTCCCTGGGGCCTGAGCCCCCTATCACAGCTCTCATTATATTTCTTCATTATCGTTCATTTAGCCACCTGTCCCCTACCAGGCAGGCCCTTGTTTGGACTGACTCTCTCTCCTCCATGACAAGAGAGGACTAGATCAGAGGAGTGTTCATAAACGCTTGTTAAAATAAGAAAGTGCCACAGTAGTTCCAAGCACCCCCCAGAAGCCATTCAGTTCTCAGGGACATGCTGTAAGGGAGAACATCCCCAACCCCCTCTGGAATGTTCCCAAGGGCCCCTCCATGACTGACCTTCCAGAGTCCTTTCAAGCCCTCCCCAGGGTCTGCTGTGTCTCACCTGTTACCTCGCAGAAGTGCTGCCACCCTGGGGCCCTCACAGCCACCCTGTCCCCCTCACCTCCTCAATCCAGTCAATGAAGGCTGAGACTCGAGTGAACACCGTGGGCTTCCTAAGGGTGTTGCAGCCGAGGGAGGAAACAAAGCTGGTGACACCGTGGACCTGCCAGGTGCCGTCCGCCGCTGGGCAGTTGAGGGGTCCTCCAGAGTCACCCTGGAACCATCAGAGATTGGGGAACTGAGCCATGTCTGGGTTTTCTTTTTTTTTTTTTTTTT